TAAACTTTGAAGGCTGATTTCTCAAATATTGTTCTTTAAACAGCTGTATGTTTAAACTTGTGTAACTTCATAACGAAGTGTCGGATTTAAATGATTCTTTTACCATTTTATAGCTCTCATTTTACTGTTAAACCATGTATTAATAACTAAACATTAATTTTTCCGACGAGTGACTGGTTTGGCTTGTCTTTGTCACATATGAACAATTGCTTTTTATCTTTAGTCCAAGCCAAAGGTACCGAGGTGCAAGAAATGGACTCCGTCAGCTAATTATTGTATTGTATAAATTCCTAGATTTGTCCTTGGATTTCTAAAGTCTACAAATTACACATGATTCCTCTTTTCGAACTTGTCATATAAAAATAATATATGTTGAATGGAAGTATTTCAGGTGTGTCCTCTTTGTTACATAATCAAGTGCAGTATATATGTCAGTAGTACTACAAAGAATAACCAGGTATAGTTGTATGTCATGAAGATTGTTACATAAACTATAAAAAGACTATAGCCTTTAAACTCATAACCTTTTGGCTGACATAGCCTAGAGAATGTATCCCTTGTGTTGTCTGCTTAACAATTGCGTGGACAATAGGCTCTTGTAAAGAGTTTGTACAAACAATATTTTAGCTAGATTTTCTCACAGCTGAAAACTGCTGTCTGGATCTTGGGTAAGCTAATCTAAGAAGAAAATTAATTTTGGTCTTCTTTACCAGTGCACAGAACAATGGTATTACATTATAATATATATTAAAATTTTCATACATTTTAATATAAAATTCTTTATTAACCAAATTTTTAATGATATAATGTAAATTATTATTATATTATATATTTTATTTAAACCATAATTAAAGAGGTTGACCTTTGCAGCTAAGCTCAGGAGGTCAGCTGATATATTCAGGGGCCCTCTTTAAAGAAATAAAATTAATTAAGTTCAATAAAAAACGATAAAGAATATAAGTGAAAGGTATTAAATACAATTCAGACAGTTAAAATAAATACTCTAATGAAATAATTATACTCCTAATGTTTATATATTGAAACAACATGGAATTATTTGATAATTTTAAAATAATTTAATTACCATTTGTATTTAATCAATACATTTACTGAAAAAAACAGGGATCTTTCGATCAACAGTGATTATAACCTAATTGAATCTGTGAGGTTTTATTATAATTAGGTGTTAGCGATATTAATTACATGTTTATATTGTAAGTATATACTTGTGAAGTGGATACCTTGGCACCGTTATGTTGCTAGCATCTGTTGCAGCACTTTACTTACAGTTGCATGTTGTCCAGCGAACAATCAATTGTACATTGTATAAGCAAGAGAAGGAGATTGCTGAGTGTCACAGGTGTCTGTTACCACCGTTGTCTAATTCCAACAAACGCCGTGTGACATCAACCTTAAAATGGAAAAAAATGAAGTGTTTCTACTCAAAATGTTTCAAGTTTCCAATATTTGATCTTTATCAGGCAAAATGTTTCTGGTATCAACTGAACAATTTTAGATTAAAAAAAAAAGTAGCAAACCATTTTGTAGCATGCTGCATCACCAATTTGGATGAAGGATTTGAGGAAGGATTCTTAAATCATCAACAACAGCTTGGTTGTTTTCCAACTCTTTATGCAAATGTCCACACATTGGCTGATGAATCAAATTTTTGATTTGTGTACAAACATTCGTTACATGAGACAAAAGACGAGTGTTGATTGGCCTTCTTGCCCAATTTCCAATTACCAAGCCTTTGTGTGTTATTCATTGATGCTGGCAGTAATGGGGATAGCAATGAAATGATAGTAATAATGGTGTAATTGTTAAAATCACCAAATACCAGATAAAGATAGACTACTGTATGTTATGTGACATACCATCATCAAGGAATTTGAATTATTTATTTGAGAAATAAATACAGACATTCATGGACTGAATCCTGGGCGCCAAGCTTAGTATGTGGGTACCGTAACAAGGTAGCTCTACATCAGGGGGGTTTTGGGTTTTTATGATTTGGGCAAACCCCCGTTTTTTGGCGAACCTTCACCCCCCCCCCCAACCTCGAATTTCTTGAAAAAGCTCTCCAACCCTAACAGTGCACTGCAGACCCACCCAGAATGTTTTGCTACAGACCTTTTTCAAACATAACTGCGTTTATAGCATTATTTAGACCCATGAAACACAAAAATCCTCTTGCTAACGGGGTTTCGCCGACCCCGCCGGGGCTTCGAATATAGACCTCACACCCAGAGAACTCCCTCTTCCCTTTGAAGAACCTGCCTGCACATCATGGCCAGTATTATACAAAATTAATGAATATAATAAATTAATGATAGTAAATAATAATATAGTATAATACTCCAAGTATCGAAATGCTCGCCATCGTGTATTGAGTATGTCATCATCAGGAATTCCTGATGATGACATAATTAATGTTAAAATATTGAATCCCGACACGGTGGCGTGCATTTCGATACTTGGAGTATGTATTATACTATCTTATCTAACATTAATCAGTGGAACTTTCGGTAAAGAATAATGATATAATAATGCGCCATCCTACAGTCGAGAGGTATTCAAAATAATAATAACTTTTGAAGAATAAGAAAAAACAGTGGAATATAGGCTTTTTTTTTGTTTTCTGAAAATTACTACTGTAAATGAAATGAAAGAAAAACATTGATAAAAATAATAGTTGGTAGATTCGCTGACATATTTATCGCATTGTAATTTAAGATGTCTGCAAAAACAACCACATTCCTTTTCGCTTTTTCGTATCAAAGCATTTTATACTTTGCAGTTTAATTACTGTTTTTCTAACTATATTTGATTGTGAAATGTTTTCATTTCGGCTCTAAAAGAATTTGGAATATATTTGTGTTGGGGATGATGATGGTGACAGAATTTCCAATAATCATCTCTCATGCATGATTGCACTTGAAAAGATGTACTTTGTATAGATAACAAGATCCACCTGACATTTAAGGTCATCACTACAGGATTTTTTTCCGCTTAATTGACCCAGTGGAATCCTATGAGTGTTATATCTTTTAATCTGATGCCGCGTCTCTAAAATTTGTTTTTATTATATAAACTTTGTTATATAATGATAATGATAATAATCATTTAAAAATAATGATGTTGATATAGTGATATTTCTATGATGATACTCTGCATAGGTCAGTAATATATGCAGATAATGATGATGTTGATGATAATAATGATACTGATAATGAATGATGGCGAGGATGAAGTTGAAGGTGACGGTGACTCCTCAGCATTTCTCAGATTTGTCTATATCATCTTTGTTATATATAATGATCATGATAATAATCATTTAATAATGATTTATGTTGTGATTATAATCATTTAATAATGTTGTGATTATAATCATTTAATAATGTTTATATTGTGATTTTACAATATATGCAGATAATGATGATGATTATGATGATGATGATAATGATGATGAATGATTGCGATAATGAAGTTGAGGAAGATGGTGGTGGCTCAGCATCTCTCAAGTTTATAAACCTTTGTTATACATAATGATGAAAATTAATGATGTTAATATTGTGATATGAAAATACAGTATATGATGATGATGATAATGAGGATGATGATGGTGATAATAATGACGATGAATGATGATGAGGATGGTTGTGGCTGCCATAACAGGGAGGAGGGGAGGATGATGGTGACATGATGATGATAAGAATTATGATGACAATGTCATTTTATGCTCCTTATGGTTTAGATATTTGTCTGTTGTAGTACCATTTTATGCGATTTATCTTTGTTTTTATAATAATTCTTTGTTTTGGATTGGAGAAAATTTTTTATCACTCATGATTTAACAAGTCTGTATGTTGATATTTTGCATATTGTTTTTCTTGTTGTTATAATCTTTATAAAAATATACAGTGTTGGAATGAGAAGAATAATTTTTTTTCTCCATAGATATTGACGAGTGTAGCAGCGGTCCTTGCTTAAATGGTGGTACGTGTCTTGACCAGGACAACATGTTTGTTTGTGTGTGTCCAGCTGGTTATATTGGTACTTTTTGTGGTGAAGGTGAGTTTGATTTTTAAATATATAAATAAAAGAATGCAGCCAAAATGTGAAAGCAGTTGAGATACAGTGGGTAAAGACACTCCGAATCTAAAGTTTGCTCTTCAATTCAAGACAACCTTTGAGACCTGAAAATTGCGGGAGATTGCTATTTGTAAATGTTTATATCACTAATTGAGGTATATGTCTATATTCAATTTTGGCAATATCACACCTTTGGAAGTTGGAATTCAAATGACACAACATTGATTACATTTTGTTTGTTTTTGTTCATCAGATGTGAATGAGTGTTCCAGCGTACCTTGTCTAAATGGTGGAGTCTGCAACAATTTAATCAATTCATACACCTGCACATGTGCCATAGGTTATGCTGGTGTCGATTGTGAAGTTGGTAAGTAGGCCTGGACTAGTCCAACTGAAATCACCTAGTAAACATTAAGCCTAGTAATTATTATTCACAATGTAAAGCGCTGTCCAGTCTATCAAATTTTATTTGACAAATGTGACATGCCTAAATATGGTCATGATGACATCATGACTATATATAGACACATCATAACTATATATGGGCATACAACAGTTTTTTCTCAAAGAAAATTTGATCTGGACAGAGCTTTAGATGCTACCCTCTATTGGCAATATTTTTTTCGAAGACTTCAAGATGGCAGCTATTGAATATAGAGTGGGCGTTAAGTGGTTATTGGAAGTCTTTTGTAATATGCATTATTGATATGACCAGTATGAATAGATTGCATAGTTTAAACAACATCAGCACTATTATAGGTCTAAGCCTCCCTGTTAAAAATTGAAGCATTGTGAATTTGAATTCCAGTTGCATGATTTACTCAATGCAGCATTTAATTTAATTTAATTTATTTGTCTCAAAAGGGTAAAATTAACAAGAACAGAAACCGGAAGGAACAAGCACAAAAGAGCATGAGACAGGAACACTATTAAGTCACTGTTGAGTGGGAGCTCTTTCATAAAACATTCTTTAACATAAAGAGAAATATCTTACAGATGAAATAGTTAAGTTGAAAATTTCCTGTAAAAAAAAAACATCCTGTAAAACAAGCATAATTTGGCATTTAAAATAATAAAAATTTTGTGATGATGCAATAAAATTTACTTTTAAAAATTCAAATTTGAAATGTTAAAAAGCTGTTCATCACCATTGTTAGGTTGGTTAATAGAGAACTAATGTAGGGTCTCTCCCATATCACTTTATTCTATTTCCCCCCCTTCCCACTTTTTTTGCTGCCTGTCACGGTTTATCGGTATTTATTTTGTTGTTGTTGTTTTTTTTGTCTTGTTTTGTTTTGTGCTGTCTCCATTTCCTTCCAGTTGTTTAAATTGCATTTACCTTATATTTAAAAAAAAATTCTGCTGTAATTGTATTCTTCAAAAAAGAAAGTGAATAAATGTTGGTTTGATTTGATTTTACTGTATTTACATCGTAGACTCACCCACTGACAATTTAAGATCATACAACTTAATAGCATTTTTCATTTCATTTGATTATTCAACAACTATTATAATTATAGGATTTTTACACCAAAACATATAATTTAATTTACAATATTAAATTTGTTTATCAATATTTGATTTTTTTTTTTTAGATCAGGATGAGTGTGCTAGCAATCCATGTTTGAATGGCGCCCTCTGTACAGACCTTGCTAACAGCTACTTTTGCACCTGTGATGCTGGCTGGACTGGAACTCACTGTGAACTTAGTAAGTATGCACATTAATTAATGTTGTGTAAGCTGATGGTAATAACAATTTAGGAAGATTGTTGTCACGATGTGAATTTCATAGACTATATTTCAGGTATGCAGAAAAGCTTTATTGTATTGTCATTGTATTTACAGGCCTCTATGACCTCAAGTTCATTATTTGTTTTAAGGGTTTAAGAGAAATATGATGTAGAGTGGGCAGTTTGTGGTAGATGACTATAAAGCTTATACAGCTGTCTAAAATAACTACATGAGCATGTTCAAATGCTTTGAAAGCATAAGATAAATTTTCTACTGCCCTCACAGTTTGATTGGTTCATGCACTGTGAAGGGTCAAGTGCTAGTGGCTTGTGGAAATCGGCATGGTCACCCACAGCTAGCTAAAACCTGCAAAGAAACCCATCTTTCGCAAGTTCAGATGGTTTGCATGCTTTAATTGCTGTATTAAGAGCCAGGAATATGCGTGTGTCTCATGAACACACGTGTTGTTACACAAACGCACATGTTCACGTATAATTTAACCTTTGTCATTTTGTGCGACCTTAGCAACAATATCCAAGGAGCGGGGCTTATCGTAAAGGTCTATGTCTACCTTACTTGCTGGCGGGGCTTATTGTAAAGGTCAATGTCTACCTTACTTGCTGGCTATGAGTTTCTCTGCCTTCAGCAAAGTGCAATGAAATGAAAAGTTCATCCAAGTAGGTCTTCCTGAAGTGGTGTTTTCAACTTCAGACCCCTGCACTTTTATTTACATTTTTTACAGATATCAATGAATGCTCAAGCACCCCATGCCTGAATAATGCTAACTGTAATGATGGTGTTAACCGGTTTGATTGTATTTGTCAGCCTGGCTACTCTGGCGTCACATGTGGATCAAGTGAGTATATTACCAACAATAGAATTTATTAAAATGATGCTTCCAGACTGTTTAAAATTATACATAAATTTTTAACTAAAATTGAAAATCTTCTTGCATGCAAACGTGCAAATCTTCAGCCACAAACTTAAAATAACTTCTTAGTTTCTTTTGAAATTTATTTACTTTTATTTATTCATTTTGTAATTTTTTTTCTTTTAATTAATTTGTTTATAAACATTATATGCACAGTATTAGATATTATCATCAGAAATAATATTAATTTTTTAAAATTATGTATGTGTGTATGTAATTAGGTATGTGTATGTCATCTTTACACAATTTTTTATTTATGTCAGTATAATGTGAGTTTGTGCATTCTCTTAAAAAGAC